ATAGCTTATTGAACCCAATAAGCTCTTGAAAAAGCGCATACTATGTATGCTCTTAGAGAAAGTTATACTATCAATTTCAATTCTTGAAACAATAAGATATTGTTAGAAATAGATAATTCTAAGAAGGGTGAAAACAGAGAGGAAAGCTTTGTTCTTTTTATTTCATGAAAGGATGATAACACCAAACTGAACAGGAACAATATTTATAGTCGATGTGAAGTATTTCAGAGGTCTCTTACAACCTAACATCTTCTTAACTGATGCAAAACTTTAAATGAAAGAGTTAAAACAGGTGAAGAACTAAATGTGGGGACACAAAAGATCTCATGCGTCAACACTCCTCCTTGAGACTTTTGCTGTAACACCAAGTTTGGATCGAGGGAACTCAAACTTCCCTTTTGGCAAGGCTTTGGTTAGAATATCTGCAAGTTGAAACTCTGAGGGGCAATGGACAAGCTTCACAAGTTTTTCCTATTGATCATCTCGAAGTGCATAGAACTTGACCTTCATGTGTTTTGTCTTGCTGAAACAAACTGGATTTTTTGAAATGGAAATGGCTGATTTATTGTCAACGAACACATCAGTAGCATAATCTTGCTTGAATCCCATGTCTGCAAAGATCTTCCTCAACCATACAGCTTGATTAGCAGTAGCTGAAGCTGCAATATATTCAGCCTCTGCAGTGGACTGAGCTACAACTTCTTGTTTCTTGGAAATCCACGAAAACACTCCCGAGCCAAATGAGAAGGCATAACCTGAGGTGCTTTTCATGTCATCTTGGGAACCACCCCAGTCACTATCACCTTGACAATATGCTTGCAGAAAACATTAAATCTGGTCGTGTTGCTGTCAAGTATAACAAGCTTCCAACTAAGCTCCTGTACTGTCTAGGATCAATCTTTTTGCTTCCATAATTTCTAGAATACTTTTCATTTACCACAAGGGGTGTTGCTACTACTTTGGAACACTGCATTTTGAACTTCTTGAGGATATCTTCTGCATACTTGATTTGGGAAATAAAAATCCCATCTTCTGATTGTTGAACCTCCATGCCAAGAAAGTAATTCATTAAACCCAAGTCAGTCATCTCGAACTTCTTTTTCATCTCCTCCTTGAATGTAAGGATCATCTTTGAATTATTTCCTGTAACAAGAAGATCATCGACATAGAGGGATATAATAAGCAAATCATTTTTTCCTTGCTTCTTTATGTACAAAGTGTGCTCATTTTTGCTTCTCTCAAAGCCTTGCTCAACGAGATAAGAGTCTATTTTACTGTACCAAGCGCGCGGGGCCTGTTTTAGGCCATAGAGAGCTTTTTTCAGTTTGCACACCTTCTCTTCTTTCCCTTCAACAATGAATCCATATGGTTGCTCGACGTAAATATCTTCCTCAAGTTCGCCATTTAGAAATGCAGATTTAACATCAAGTTGAAATATTTTCCACCTTTCTTGAGCTGCTAATGCAATTAGTGTCCTTATGGTGTCATGTCTAGCCACAGGAGCGAAAGTGTCTCCATAGTCTATACCCGCTTGTTGTGAGTATCCCTTAACGACCAATTTAGCCTTGTGTTTGCAGATAGTTCCATCAGGGTTTAACTTAGTTTTGTAGACCCATTTCACGCCAATCACCTTTCGATCGCTTGGCCTATCGACCAACTCCCATGTTTTATTTTTCTCTATCATTTTCATTTCGTTCTCCATAGCATCTTGCCATTGTTTGTGTTTTGAGGCTTCAGAATAATCGTGTGGCACATCAGTAGCAAAGAAACACCTCTCACACTGTTCAACATCTAAGTGAATAATTGGACAGTCTTCATATACATCAGAAAGTGATCTTTTACCTCTAGGACCTGTGACATTTTTTGAGTTTGAACCCGATGTTGGTGAGTCTGCATGTGTAGGAGATGACGGAGGCGTATGAGAATCAGAATGCACATCATTGTTGTTAACCTCATATGATTCTTGAGGTTTTTGTTGATGAGGAGGATCATAGACTACATTCATTTTCCTTTCAAGCTTTCCCTCTTCCCAATTCCAGATTGCATCTTCATCCACTTCCACGTCTCTACTCACGATGACCTTCTCGGTGTTTAGGTTATAAATCCTGTAACCTTTTGACTTTGAGTCATAACCGATAAAGATTCCTTTTTCTGAATTTTCATCAAGCTTGCTTCTTTTCTGGGACGGGATGTGAACGTAGCAAACTGAACCAAATACTTTTAAATGTTTTGCTGTTGGCCTTTTCCCATTCCAGGCTTCAATTGGAGTTTTCTCATGAACCGCCTTAGTAGGTAGTCTATTTAGCAGATATACGGCTGTGTAAACAGCATCCGCCCAAAATTTCTTTGGCATTTTCTTTTCTGCGAGTATGCATCTGGCCATTTCCATGACGGTTCTGTTCTTTCTTTCGGAAACTCCATTTTGCTGAGGCGTGTACGCGACTGTAAGTTGTCGTTCGACGCCTTCATCTTCACAAAATCTATCAAATTCCACCGCAGTATACTCCTTTCCTCGATCAGATCTCAACATTTTCAACTTGCAACCACTTTGAGTTTCAGCAAGAATTCTAAACTTCTTGAAAATGCTAAAAACTTCTGATTTTTCCTTCATGAAATACACCCAAGTCATCCGACTGAAATCATCAATGAACAAGATGAAATATTTGTTCCCATTAAGAGATGTTGTTCTTTGGGGACCACATACATCTGTATGCACGAGTTCTAACTTTCCCTTTGCTCTCTAAGCTTGTCCTTTCTAAAATGGTAGTTTATGTTGCTTCCCGAGTAGGCAAGGCTCACAAACATCTTTTGAAACATGGATCGAGGGAAAGTCCCTAACCATACCCTTCTTATGTAGGTAATTTAATGCGCGTACATTGAAGTGCCCATATCTTCTATGCCACAACCAGGTACTTTCCATATTAGCTCTGTTTAATTTCTCTGAAGGATATTTCCATATCAAAGGGAAGCTTTTATTCTCCACCACAACTTCAACAATCTTTTTCTTTGCAGGATCTTTTATAGTGCAACGGTCATCCTTAAAGAGAACTGAGTATCAGTTCTTAATCATTTGAGACACGCTAAGAAAATTCTCAGCAAGATCCGGAACAAGAAGAACATCATTGATATATTTCGTACCTTCATTTGTTTCCACAGCAATAGTACCCTTGCCTAAGGACTTAGAAACAACTCCATTCCCCATACGCACCGGTACTTTGACAGAGTAATCCAACATGCAGAAGATGCTTGAATTATTTGTCATATGATTAGTGCAGCCGCTGTCGATAAACCAAATTTCCTTGTTGCTCGAGGCTGATGCTTGGCGCGCACAAAACAGATAATCTTCATCCATGTTGGTACTTGAGAATTGCGCTTCTGCCTTGGACTCCTTTTGCTTTTGTCTACAATCTTTTTCGACATGACCATATTTCATGCAATGTCGACATTGAGGTTCCCTTTGAAATAGCAATCTTTTTCTGCATGATTTGTCTTCTTACAAGTTCCACAAGGAGGAAATTTTCCTTCTGATTGTAGAGCTTGTTTTTTATGATTTTCGCTGGAATCTCCATAACTTTTCTTCTTCCAAGAGTTGTTTTTAGGACCTGATTGCTTTTGTTTATCATTGGACCGGAAGACTTCTTCGGATGAACTTTCTGTTGCTTTTTTGAGTTTTTGATCGTGTAGTTGCAAAGAACTCATCAGCTCTGTAACGCTAAGTTGGGATAAATCCTTTGATTCTTCAATTATAGTGGCGATTGTATTGTACCTATTGGTCAACGTCGCAAGAATTTTTTGCACAATTATTGCATTAGAGATGTCTTCTCTGTAAGTTTTCATTTGGTTTACAACTTCAAGTAATCTAGAAGTGTAAACCTTTGTATCTTCATTCTCCTTCATTTTCATATTTTCAAAATCTTTTCTTAGATAATTTAGGCGAGCGGTTCTTACTCTCTCATCCCCTTGAAACTCCTCCTCAAGGGATTGCCATGCTGATTTTGCAGATAATGCTCGCATAATTATGGGAAATATGGTGTGTGTGACAACGTTAAGTATATAGGACAAAGCTTTGGCGTCTTTAAGCTCATCTTCCTTCAACTGCTGTAATTGAGCTTCTGTATACTGGACTCCTTCAGCTTTTTGTTGAAAGCCAGTTTCCACTATCTCCCATTGTGCGTTCGCTTTTAAGAAGAGCTTCATTTTAATGCACCAGTATTCATAATTTTCTCCATCAAAGACAGGAGGTGCTGATGTAGAGAATGTTATTGCAGATGTACCGGCCATTCTTGCAAACTGGATTGATTTTCTGGCCCTTAAGATCCTTGTTGCTTTGATACCACTTGTTAGAAATAGATAATTCTAAGAAGGGTGAAAACAGAGAGGAAAGCTTTGTTCTTTTTATTTCATGAAAGGATGATAACACCAAACTGAACAGGAACAATATTTATAGTCGATGTGAAGTATTTATAGTCGATGTGAAGTATTTAAGAGGTCTCTTACAACCTAACATCTTCTTAACTGATGCAAAACTTTAAATGAAAGAGTTAAAACAGGTGAAGAACTAAATGTGGGGACACAAAAGGTCTCATGCGTCAACAGATATGATTTATAACCAAACAATGAAATACAGAACTGCTAACGGAGCTCGCAAGAAGAGAAAAAGAAGCAGGTATCACCCCAGAAGCTGAAGTAGATCTTTACATGAAGGCAACTGCCATTGAAGCAGACGAGAGTAGTTTGATTACTTACTACACTCTAAGAGTAAGTATGAATCTTTATTATCTGACCTTTCCACCCCTAATTCAAAAATATTTGTTCATTAGATTAGTGTGATCAGTCCCAAGTTGTATCTCCAAAAGAGCCCTTGAGGTGAAACAACAGACTGCCAACTTATATAAAACTGTATCAAGTCGATGTAGGACACAAACAATATTTATATCTTTTTAAAACCAAAACAGATATTGGGCCTAGATATATGCCGTGACACATTTGTTGGAGATCAAATGAGACGAGGTATCTCCGGAGGACAAAAGAAGCGTGTAACCACAGGTTAATTTTTTTCTTTTTTTCACATTAACTACTGTATGGATAAAGTAGCTGAATTGCTAAATACCGGACTCAGGTGAGATGCTTGTTGGACCAGCAAAAACTTTGTTTATGGCCGAGATATCAACAGGTCTAGACAGTTCCACTACCTTTCAGATAGTCAAGTGCTTGCAGCAAATTGTACACCTCACCGAGTCAACAATCTTAATGTCGCTACTACAACCTGCCCCCGAGACATTCGATCTATTCGATGACATCATCCTTCTATCCGAGGGCCAGATCGTGTATCAGGGCCCACGGGAAAATGTTCTTGAGTTCTTTGAGAGTTGTGGATTCATATGTCCAGAGAGAAAGGGCATTGCTGACTTCTTGCAAGAGGTAAACATTCCTACTGAAATTTCGGCATGACCTCCACATAAATTCAACATTAGCCAAAACGTACAAGTACAACCTTGTACCCATTTAGGATTGGGATTTGCTGGTGCTACAATTGTCCTGTTTGATTACATCTATTTTTTTTTAACATTTTGTATCTCCGTGCTAGGTTACATCTAAGAAGGACCAACAACAATATTGGGCAGATAAAAGAAAACCGTATAGATATATACCAGTTAGTGAATTTAATGAAAGATTCAAGTGTTTCCATGTGGGGGAGAAGCTGAAAAGAGAGTTGTCAATTCCATACGACAAAAGCGAAAGCCATAACGCTGCTCTAGTTTTTGAAAAATACTTAGTCCCCAAAATGGAGCTCCTTAAAGCCTCATGGGATAAAGAGTTGCTACTAATGAAGAGAAACGCTTTCATTTACATTTTCAAGTCTATACAAATCGTGTTTGTAGCATTTATTGCCACAACTTTGTATCTTAGGACCACAATGCACCACAGGAATGAACAAGATGGTGTGATTTACGTAGGGGCACTTTTGAACAGTCTGCTCATCAACATGTTTAATGGTTTTGCTGATCTGTCACTAATCATCATGAGACTTCCAGTAATTTACAAGCAAAGGGACCTCATGTTCCACCCGCCATGGGCTTTCACTCTTCCAGCTTTCTTGCTACGTATTCCTATATCTATAGTAGAGAGTATTATGTGGTGTGGGATTTTATACTTTGGTGTTGACCTCGCCCCTGATGCTGGCAGGTAATTAATTAACTAACTACTTTCGTTATTTTCATCAAGACCTTATCTATAAAAAAAGTTAAGAGACTAAATGAATACATGCATGAAAAATAGGTGGAGGGTAAATTGTTGAACACGACTCTTTGTATGGGAAACAAAAAAGACTTTTATTAAGACACTTAAGAAGACCTTACACTTTGTGAGACTACTACACACTTTGCTCTCTTTGAGGCTTTCTTGGATGGTTTGGAGCAAATGAGCTCCACACCTATTTATAGGCCTCTTAGGAAGGTTCTAGATACTAGTATACACTTACTACCTACTAGATAACTCTAGAAATATCTAACATACTCTATATGCTTCCATATGTTTCTAGAATATTCTACCATGTTCTGGAGAGGTCTAGGTTGCTCCAGTGTCTTCTAGAATGATCCATAACCTTCCAGGGTCTTCCATGTCGTTCTAGAGTATTCTAGACTCTTCCGGTATATTCCGGAGTCTTCCATAGTCTTCCATAATGTTCTAGAATCTTCTAGAGCGTTCTAGAACAAGCTAAAGTCTTCTAGATAATATTTGTTCTATTGGGCTAGTGATGATCTTTAACACTCCCCCTCAGCACTAGCCCTCATTCTTCGTACCATGTTAAGCTGACAGCGAAAACCTTCACATTTTCCAATACTCAGTCCTTTGGTGAACAAGTCTGCTATTTGGTCATCGGTCTTGATCTGTCGCATCTCAATTTCTTCCATCAAGACTTTCTCTCTGATAAAGTGATAATGCACTTCCACATGCTTTGTTCTAGCATGAAATACTGGATTTTCTGCCAGCCGAATTGCAGATTGGTTATCGCAGTGAAGTGGTACCGCATAGTCAACTTTTTGATGTAAGTCCTCCATTAGGAGTACCAACCATGTACTTTCTTGAGCTGCTACGGCCGCTGCTTTGTACTCCGCTTCTGTGGTTGACAATGATACGGTTGGTTGTCTTTTACTACACCATGATATTGGCCCCGACCCAAGCTTGAACACATACCCAGTGGTTGATCTTCGGGTATCATGGTCTCCTGCATAGTCAGCATCACAATATCCAACCAACTTGCAGTCTTCTCCTTTTTTATACAAGAGACCATAGTCAATTGTACCTTTGACATATCTTAAGATCCGTCGGGCAGCATCCAAATGAGGTTTCTTCGGATTTTGCATGTATCGACTCATAACTCCAACTGCATAAGCAATGTCAGGCCGAGATAAAGTTAGGTAGATAAGACTACCTACTAGTTGTCGATACATCGTTCCATCGTCCAACTCTTTTCCTTCATGAGCACATATCTTGGTATTTGGCTCTATTGGTGTTGATACTGGCTTACACTCCAACATGCCAAACTTTTGAAGTATATCTCTTGTATACTTTTGTTGGCAGAGGAACAACCCTTCCTTTGTACGATCAACTTCTAACCCCAAGAAGTGTTTAAGCTCCCCCAGCTCTTTCATTTGGAATCGCACCGATAGATTTTCTCTTGTTTGATGGATTTCTCTTTCGTCATCCCCGGTGATGATCAAGTCATCCACATAAACCAACACAATTGCCAACTTCCCTTCTTTTTCTTTAACAAACAGGCTTGAGTCAGCATGTGCAACTGAATAACCACTTCGGGTAAGAAATTCAGCAATCTTACCATACCAGGCTCTTGGTGCCTGCTTCAATCCGTAAAGAGCTTTTCTCAGCTTGCACACATGAGTGGGATTAACTGCATCCTCAAATCCCTTTGGTTGGTTCATGTAGATCTCCCGATCTAATTCTCCACGCAGGAAAGCATTCTTCACATCCATCTGCCATAATTTCCAGTCTTTACTAGCTGCAAGAGCTAGCAGCACCCGTACAGTAGTTATCTTCGCCACTGGACTAAATGTTTCATCATAGTCCAATCCATATTGTTGTGAGAACCCTCGAGCCACCAAACGAGCCTTGTATCTTTCAATTGATCCATCTGTGCGTCGCTTTAATTTATAAACCCACTTGCAGGAAATGGGTTTTATATCTCTTGGTCTTGGTACCAGTTCCCACGTTTGATTCTGCTTTAAGGCTGTAACTTCTTCTTCCATTGCCTTCTGCCAAGCTTTATTCTTAATTGCTTCTTCATATGTCTCCGGCTCTTTAACACCGTCTTCTAAAATAGCCGCATTAGCATACTTGGGATTAGGCTTTCGGATTCTTTCCGTCCTTCGAAGTTGTGGAGGCGGCGTCTCCCTTTCACCGGCATTACTTGTTTGAGTTACTTCTTGCTCAATGACATCAGTGTCGCTCGGATCTTCAGGTGTATCAACACTTGACCAAATGTGTGTAGTTTGCTCCCCCATCTTTTGTTTTAAAACTTCTTCAATATTTTCCGAGTCTGGTAATACTTTCTTCTCTAAGGACCACCATGAAGATGCTTCATCGAACACTACATCTCTTGAAGTGTAGCATCTTCCGCTTGTTGGATCACAACACCTCCATCCTTTTCTTTGATTGTCATATCCAACAAATATACACCTGACTGCTTTCTTGTCAAACTTGCTACGTAAATGACTAGGTACAAATACGTAGCAGACACAACCAAATACTCGAAAGTAGCTAACAGTAGGTTTCATGTTCCATAGTGTCTCAAATGGTGAGATGAAACCTAACCTTGGTTGGGGAAGTTTATTGATCACATGGGCAGCAGTTCGCATTGCTTCAGCCCAAAATCTTCCTGGGACATTCTTCGCGTGTAGCATGCTTCGACAAATTTCTGCAAGATGTCGATTCTTTCTCTCAGCTACACCATTTTGTTGAGGTGTGTTGGCACATGTGAATTGATGACGTATACCACATTCTTTTAGATAGCTATTGAATTCTTCCAGGTGTATTCTCCTCCATTGTCTGAGCGTAGACACCGAATCTTCTTTCTCACTTCTCCTTCGACCGTTGTCTTGAATTCTAGAAACTTTGAGAATGTTTCAGATTTTTCTTTCATGAAGAAAACCCACACATATCTCGAATAATCATCAATGAATGTCACCATGTACCGCATCCCGCTAATTGATGTCTGCTTGACTGGACCGAACACATCCGAGTGAATTAACTCTAGTGGCTTCTTTGCTCTAAAATTTGACTCCTTGTATGGTAATTGATGAGCTTTACCATACTGACATCCAGCACAAACAACATCTGTTTTAACTTCAAGTTGAGGTAAGCCACTGAGCATGGATTTCTCCATTATTACCTTCAACTTGTGATAACCAACATGTCCCAGCCGTGCATGCCATAGATCTGCTGTCTCGTTCTTACGAGTCTTATCTACATAGGCAGACTCTGCGGAGAGAACATAGACGGACTCCACTCTCCGTCCTTCCATTGTTGGCTTTTCTGATATTTTAAGATCTCGATAGACCTTCACATCTTGTGGGCCAAACAAGACGTAGTTTCCTGATGATGTTAGTTGCGATACCGATAACAAGTTCTTCTTCATACCTGGCACGTGATAGACATTATGTAGTGACACCATGTCAGATTTATTACCAGGCATGATCGTTGTTTTGCCAATCTGAGCAATTGGAAGTCGTGCATTGTTGGCTGTAAGTACCATGCGACTCCCTTTGTACTCCTTCACGTCTTGTAGTTTGTTCTGATCACCAGTCATGTGATTGGAGCATCCTGAATCAATGATCCAGTCATTCTCATAGTTGATACGCTCTCCCATCATTGCCATGAGCGCCAACTCGTTTTCTTCTATGGCGCATAATGCCTCAGCATCCCATTCATCCTCTATTTCCTTTTTGGAAGTTACGACATTGCTTTCCACAGACTTTTTCTTTGACCAACAATCTTTGGACATGTGGCCCCACTTTCCACAATTGTTGCAGTTGCCTTCGAACCTCCTCCCCCGAGAACTCTTATTGTCGGTCTTTTGAGATCTCCATGGTTGTGAGGTTCCTGGCTGACTCTTCCATTTGTCAGCATTTTTGTATCCTTCTTTAGAAGGTGGCTTGAAATTTCTCCGACTTTTACTTGTGTAGAGTGCTTCTTCTTCACTCTTCAGCGTGATGCCTCCCATTTGCTTAGCCATAGCTTCTTGGCTGGCCAACAAATTCTCAAAGTCTACAAGTGATGGTTGAACGGGCCATCCTTGTACAGCAGTAACGAAGCTTCTATATTCCGGCCTCAGTCCATGGATGATGATCCTCTTCATTCGAGCTTCTGTAATGACGGATTGCGGATCTAGTTCAGTAATCTCCCGACATATCGACTTGACCTTGTGGAAATATTGAGCAATCGTCATGTCACGTTGTGAGATTGATAATAGCTCGTTCTCCAAAAGTTGTAGTCTTGTATCATTCTTCTTTGAGAAAAGCGTCACAAACGTGTCCCAAGCTTCTTTCGGTGTGTTCTCGTCCCGAATATGCTCCAACATCTCTTCTTCGATTGTGGTCTTCAAGGCAAACATTGCTTTGCCTGCTTTGATTTTCCATTTGCGTAGAGCGCCATTAACATCTTCCTCCGGAGGCGTGGTTTTGCTTCCGCCAACGACCTCCCATAGATCTTGTCCTTGTAAGTAGGACTTCATACATGTTTCCCATGTTTTGTAGTTGTTGTTGTTGAGTTTCTTGATTCCTCCGACGACTTGGAGATCACCCATCGTGTTGGCAGTACCTCGGTAATACCAAACAAGCTAGTTTCGACACTAAACTTGCAGAGTCACAAACTACTCACGATACAACGAGAATCACTCGTTCTCACTATCAAGAAACCTTGCTCTGATACCAGATTGTTGAACACGACTCTTTGTATGGGAAACAAAAAAGACTTTTATTAAGACACTTAAGAAGACCTTACACTTTGTGAGACTACTACACACTTTGCTCTCTTTGAGGCTTTCTTGGATGGTTTGGAGCAAATGAGCTCCACACCTATTTATAGGCCTCTTAGGAAGGTTCTAGATACTAGTATACACTTACTACCTACTAGATAACTCTAGAAATATCTAACATACTCTATATGCTTCCATATGTTTCTAGAATATTCTACCATGTTCTGGAGAGGTCTAGGTTGCTCCAGTGTCTTCTAGAATGATCCATAACCTTCCAGGGTCTTCCATGTCGTTCTAGAGTATTCTAGACTCTTCCGGTATATTCCGGAGTCTTCCATAGTCTTCCATAATGTTCTAGAATCTTCTAGAGCGTTCTAGAACAAGCTAAAGTCTTCTAGATAATATTTGTTCTATTGGGCTAGTGATGATCTTTAACATAAATTTCAATCTAAACCTTTTTCATACTTATATATACTAAACTAATTTGGTTTACAGGTTCTTCAAGCATCTTCTGTTGGTTTTCTTGATCCAGAATGTGGCAGCAGGGCTGTTTAGGCTAATTGCTGGGGTTTGTAAGACAATGAATATTTCTAACACAGGAGGAGCTGTTGTACTTTTACTTATATTTCTGTTAGGTGGTTTTATACTTCCTAAAACCCGGATTCCAAATTGGTGGGAGTGGGCATACTGGATTTCACCTCTGTCTTATGGCTTCAAAGCATTTGCTATAAACGAGTTTCTTGATCCTAGGTGGACAAGCAAAAGGGTAAGTCAAGTAATTCTTAACTCAAAATGCAAATTCCAAAAAACCCTAGGTACTTTTTAGTTGTGGAAAAATGTTTTCGGTTTTCTTGGGTTTGTGATTGTTGGGGGTGGGATGGGTGTGGGGGTGTTGGTGGGGGCGGTGAAGGTGGGGTGTAATAGAAAATTCTAACTTCTTTGAAAACTTTTCCAAGAAAATGTCAAGCCAAAAGTGTTTTCAAATTCACTTTTCTAAGATTTTTTTTTTTTGGAAAATTAAAGAATTTTACACAACCACGCCCTTATATTTTCAGAAAAAGTTGAATATTGGATGGTTATTAATTTATTGTTTTGTACATTTAGGATCTATGAACAAAAAAAAAGGTGTGTTTCATATTTATTATTTTTTAGTTAATAATTATAAAAAATGTTGATTATTTTGTATACCTAGGTGTGCAAGTAAATATTTTTCTTTTGTTCAGGGACAGGATCCTAGGTGTACAAGAAAATTATTGTCCATTTTGGAATACCATATATGCATTCAAAACGGTTAACATGTAATAGCCAGTCATAATTATATAAATACCAAAATTATATGTACCAGAAAAAACTTCCAATGCCATAGCCAAAATTCAACTTTTTCTCTTTATATATATTTCACTTTCTGGCAGAGCTCAGACAATTCAACCAACATGGGGTACGCAGTGCTAAATAACCTTGACATCCCAACTAAAGAAAGCCATTACTGGATTGGTGCTGCTGCTCTTCTTGGTTTCATGTTTCTGTTCAATATTCTTTTTACCATTGCTCTCATGTATTTAGAAGGTAAGTTTCCATGGATACCCCTAAGGATGACTGATATTTGCACTAACTAACCTTCATGATTCTTCTGTTGACTAACTAGCCCCTGGAAAACCACAAGCAATTATCTCCAAGGAAGAAGCTGCAGCCATGGAAGGTCAGAATACCAACCTAGTGTCAGGATCGAGACACTTAACACACGACTCTAAACACACACAGAGCTCACGAAAAACAAGAACACAAGGATGAACACGAGGGATTTAACGTGGTTCGGTCCTTCTCTGACCTACGTCCACCGGTAACTAGGAATTTATATTTCTTGGTGCTAATCTGCACTCTTTCTGTGTTACTCTAGATACAAGTTTTACAAATACAGATGAATCTCTTATATAGAGATGGAAATCAGAAGTAGTCAAAAAACACAACCGGGAAAAAAGCCTCAAAACATTTCCCTTGTTTTCTGCCACTTTTGACCAACTTTTCTGTGGATTCACACTCAATAATCTCCGTGGATTCACACTCAACAATCTCCCACTTGAAGCCACGGAACAATCTTCACATGTGCTTCAACTGTGCATCTGTATTAAAAAAAATTTGATCTTAACTCCTTCCTAGTTACCCTGGCCTTCTCTTCAATTAACCTGAAGGCCAGTTGAAGCTTTCGTTAGCTCCAACACATCAGTCATGGCTAAGTCTGCTACTGACCTGTTCTCTGTCTCCACCGGCTCCCACTGAAATGAACTGCCCGATCCTAGAACATCCTGAGAACAAACGACACTCTCCATTTGAAGCAGATAATCTGGAGAGACTTTTACAGATGGAATACTGGTTCTCTTAACCCACTGTGTTCTGGGTATTCTAGCTGAAACAAAGCCCATGCTCCCACTGCTATGAATGCCCTTGACTGGTTTTTCTGAACCGTTCCAAACACGTTCAACCTGAATCTGACCTGTGACTTTGGGTTTGCCATCTGCAAAGCAAACCTTCTTCTGTCCACGAGACTCTATGAACCGGATTTTGTTTTTCTTCTGAACTGGGACGGTTACTCCCTCAGATGGTAAAGTGACCATATATAATGAACCCCTCTTATGTCCACGAGCTATCACAAGATTTCCTTTGACAACCTTCCACTGCCCATTCCTGAACTTAACCTCGTGTCCCTGTTCATCCAACTGCCCAACAGAAATCAACTGTTTCTTCAGACTTGGAATTACCCGGACATCCTTCAAAGTCCATGGACCGACTGGAGTCTTCAGATCTAAGTCACCTATGCTCGTCACATCAAGAACCTCATCGTTCGCCAGTCTTACCTTACCAAAATCCCCTTCTTTCAGATTCCGCAGTGCTTCACGGATGTGGGTAGCGTGAAATGAAGCACCCGAATCCATAACCAAGGAATTCACATTGCTCTCCATACTACAGATCAAAACATCATCATCTGAATGGTCTACTGCAACGTTAACTTCTTTCTTGTCTTTTGGACATTGATTCCTGAAATGTCCAACCTCTTTACAGTTCCAACAAGTCACATCATTTCGAGTCCTCGACTGACTCCTTCTCCTGTTCCCGCTCCCACTACCTCTGTTATTTCTTCTACCTCTGACCGCATTCAATTGTTCACTTGATGATTCCCCGGAATTTCTTCGTCTGACGTCTTCGCCTAGAATTACATCCCGAATTCCCTCAAAAGTGAGCCCTTTCGATCCTGTGGAACTAGTAACGGCTGTAACTGTTCCAGACCAACTGTCAGGTAATGATGATAACAATAGTAAAGCTTGAACTTCATCCTCGAACTTTATTCCCACTGACCCAAGTCTAGATAAAATCGAGTTTAAATTGTTGATGTGTACTGTAACTGAACTTCCTTCCCTCATCCTCGTGTTGACTAGCTCCCGAATCAGGAAGACTTTATTTGCTGCCGACGGCTTCTCGTACATATTAGACAACACCTCCATGATTCCCTTTGCCGAGGTCTCCTTCAAAATGTTGAAGGCAACATCCTTTGACAACGTCAGTCTAATAAATGCCTTGGCCTTCTTATCCAAAGTCTCCCAGTTTGCCTGTGTCATCGCCTCCGGTTTTTTTACCTAAAACTGCGTCCAAGTCTTTCTGCACGAGCGAATCTTCAATTTGCATCTTCCACCAACCAAAATCTTTCCCATCAAACTTCTCAATCTGAAGCTTACTGCTTTCTGCCATTTTCTGAAAGAACAATGACCTATCTTGCAATTTTCTGGAAATTCAGGGGCCAAATTGCAAATTTTCAGTGTTGCTACAGTGTCTGCTAACGTCACCGCTGACGTAGTGCTACAGTTCCTGCTACAGTGTCTGCTGACGTTACCGCTGACGTAGTGCTACAGTGTCTGCTTACGTCACCGCTGACGTCGTGCTACAGTGCCTGCTACAGTGTCTTCTTCTCCGGCGTACTGCTACAGTATCTGGTGCTACAGTTTCGTCTTCTCCAGCGGACTGCTACAGTGAATCCGACAGCTACAGTAACGTTGACCGGTGATTTTAGGAGCCTTCCGGTGGTCGAAAAAATTCAGAAAAAATATTTTCGGAATCTGCGGAACGAGACCTTTCCAACAGTCTACACCAAATTCGTTTTTGAGAAAAAAATTTCGACCAAAAACAGAAAATCACCCTCTGGAGCTAAAACCAAAGCTCTGATACCACTTGTTAGGATCGAGACACTTAACACACGACTCTAAACACACACAGAGCTCACGAAAAACAAGAACACAAGGATGAACACGAGGGATTTAACGTGGTTCGGTCCTTCTCTGACCTACGTCCACCGGTAACTAGGAATTTATATTTCTTGGTGCTAATCTGCACTCTTTCTGTGTTACTCTAGATACAAGTTTTACAAATACAGATGAATCTCTTATATAGAGATGGAAATCAGAAGTAGTCAAAAAACACAACCGGGAAAAAAGCCTCAAAACATTTCCCTTGTTTTCTGCCACTTTTGACCAACTTTTCTGTGGATTCACACTCAATAATCTCCGTGGATTCACACTCAACACCTAGAACCAATATCACATCCTAGAGGCACTTCTGATGCTAAGAAGGGCATGGTTCTTCAGTTTACTCCATACGCCATGTCATTTGACAATATCAACTATTTTGTTGATATGCCTCATGTAAGTTCATTTCTACTTTAATTTGTGTTGCTACTAACATTTATAGCATATATACTATATGAGTTTCAGATAAGGTTAAAGTAGTGGAGTAGTACAAAACAATATTTTATTTTTCTAGTACAAAATTCCAAGTAATATCTGCATATTTATCCCTCTTACTTTCATTAAGTATTTGCATATGTACATCCTTCTTACTTCTGGCTCTGTTGATTTTATCTACTTGTTACTTTCTGCTTTATTCCACTATTGTTTGTAACTACATATGTACATGTTTCTTTATGCTCTATTGCTTTATTGTTTTATTGCTTGTATTTGCATATTTACATATTTGTTACTTTCAGCTCTATTGTTTGCATCTGTTTGTTACTTTCTGTTCTATTGCTTATATCTTCATATTTATACGTCCTTGTTTGGCATGCATGTTTATGGTAGCAGACTCGATCTTCGGGTCTACATAACCTCCCCCTTACCCCATTTCTGTAATGGATCTGTTGTTATTGTTAATTAAATCTTTATCTAGGAACTAAGAACTTGACGATTATTTGTTGGCTACACAGGAAATGAGAGAACATGGGGTGACAGAAAAGATATTGCAATTACTTTCTAATGTAACCGGTGCCTTTAGGCCGGGAGTCCTAACTGCATTAATGGGAGTAAGTGGGGCTGGTAAAACTACATTGATGGACGTTTTAGCAGGAAGAAAAACAGGTGGTTATATCGAAGGAGACATAAGAATATCAGGATTCCCTAAAAAACAAGAAACATTTGCAAGAATCTCTGGATATTGTGAACAAACGGATATCCATTCTCCCACAATCACTGTTCAAGAATCTTTAATCTACTCTGCTTTCCTCCGTCTCCCAAAACAAATCAGCAAAGAAGACAAAACGGTAACAACGTAATGATGAAATAAGCAAAATATTAAAGAGAAATAAAGGCCTCTGACCTTTTTTTTTTCGCATTCAGATTTTTGTGCGTGAAGTGATGGAGCTAGTTGAACTAGACAATATCAAGGATGCAATAGTGGGACTTCCAGGAGTTAGTGGTTTGTCAACAGAACAGAGAAAGAGGTTAACAATCGGAGTGGAGCTTGTTGCAAATCCATCCATTATTTTCATGGATGAACCGACTTCTGGACTTGATGCAAGAGCAGCTGCCATTGTTATGAGGGCTGTAAGAAACACAGTGGATACAGGGAGAACTGTTGTTTGCACCATTCATCAGCCTAGTATTGATATCTTTGAATCCTTTGATGAGTTGCTGCTACTGAAAAGAGGAGGAAAAGTTATCTATGCGGGACCACTAGGAAGGCATTCTCAAAATGTCATTGATCATTTTGAGGTATTTTACATGCATAATATACGAATTATAATCACAAAATGTTAATTCTACTTAAAATAAACTGTTTTACAGGAAGTTGCTGGGGTTCCAAAGATCCCTGAAAAATACAATCCAGCAACATGGATGTTGGAAGTCAGCTCTGCTGCTACAGAAATACGACTGGGCATTGACTTTGCTGACCACTACAGTGCATCGCCTTGACAACAGTAAGACTAAGGGTATTCTCAAAACATCATTCACCACACCTCTCACTTTTTCTCTAAAGGGATGTTTTTTTTTCCTTATGCCTTGTTCCCGAGTTCTACTTAAGGAGGGAAATAGGAGGATATGGAGGGAAAGTGAGGGGTGTGGAAGAAAAATCGTGTTCCCGAGTTTCATTAATGGAAGGAAAGTGAGGGGAGGGGAAGGATTTTGGAGTCATATTTTCCTTCCAAATTTTCCTCCCAAATTGGGCGGATTTGGGAAGAAAGTGAGAAGAAGGAAAATTTCATGTTTTATTTTCTTTTTCCTCCTAACTCAGGAACACAAAAACTTAAAACTTTCCTTTCATTTCTTTTCATTTCCTTCGAACTCGGGAACACGGTATAACGAATATTTTCCTTCCCCTCCCTTTCTTTCGGTCAAAATTTTCCTTCCCTTTCCTTTAATGTTTTCTCGAAGTTTCTTGTCTCAAATAACATAAAACAAATTATTTTGTGTTTTTTTTTTATCTCTGATTTGGCCTTAAATCGGGATATTGATTTCTTGGATTATTCCAAATTTAATTTCGTGGAAACCTAGGAAATAGAGTCGAGAGTCGAAATTAAATATTTTGGAAAATATGTATAAGATTCTACAAGTTTGTTTTGATATTCACTAACCATTTTCTATCGTTACTCGAAAGTTTCTTGTCTCAAAGAACATAAAACAAATTATTTTGTGTTTTTTTTTATCTCTGATTTGGCCTTAAATCGGGATATTGATTTCTTGGATTATTCCAAATTTAATTTCGTGGAAACCTAGGAAATAGAGTCGAGAGTCGAAATTAAATATTTTGGAAAATATGTATAAGATTCTACAAGTTTGTTTTGATATTCACTAACCCTTTTCTAACGTTAATGAGATTAATTAATGGGTTACGCATTTAATCCGGACAACTGTACATGTTTGTTTTCTTTTTGACTTAATCTTGACCAAATGACTTAATGGGTTAAGCCAAAAAAACACATCTGGCTTAATGAATTACACATTAAACCTTTATGGCTTTACCTACCTGCCCTTCTTTTTCCTCCAACCCCTCTCCCATTAAAATTGATGAATATTGTTAAAATTAATGGATAATGTGTAGTTTTTTTTAGTGCAAAGATAAAAGGGTCATTTAATCTCATTCAGAATGTAGAAAAGAATCAGACCTTATCTATACAACATTTTATCCATATAAACATCATTACTCATTCACTCACTTTACCCATACATGACTTAATGAAAATAAAAATAAAAAACATCCCCATGTCCTGTTACCTTGTGGTGATCAAAAGTAGTGATTTAATATTATAATCATATAAAATCATCAACAGGAGGAACAAGGCTATGGTGAAGGAGTTGAGTGTACCTCCACCAGGTGTTGAAGATCTTCACTTTGAAACACAATATGCTCAATCTATGTGGGGACAATTCACATCATGTCTGTGGAAAATGTGGCGAAGTTATTGGCAAAATCCCGATTATAACCTTGTCCGTTTCTTCTTCACTTTGCTTTGTGCACTCATGGTTGGAACCGTATTCTGGAAAGTCGGCAGCAAAAAGTGAGTCTTTGCGTCTTCTTCTTTTTTTTTTTACTTTTTCTTTGTGAAATGACCATTTTCCCCTCCATTATATATATTTATAAATTTCAGGTCGAGCAGCAATGATCTCAGCACAACCATTGGAGCGATGTATTCTGCTGTATTTTTTATTGGTGTAAGCAATTGCCAAACGGTGCAGCCGGTTATTGCCACGGAAAGAATAGTTTTTTATCGTGAAAGAGCTGCTGGGATGTACTCTTCGTTACCATACGCCATGGCACAAGTAAGAGAATTTTTACAAAATTTACTTAATTACAAACTTACCCTTTCTTTTCTTTAAACAGGTGTTTGTGGAGATACCATATGTATTCCTTCAAACAACATATTACACTCTCATAGTGTACGCCATGGTCTCATTCGAATGGACAGCACCCAAATTCTTCTGGTTTTTTTTCATCAACTTCTTTTCGTTCCTTTACTTCACATACTATGGAATGATGACTGTTTCCATCACGCCAAACGAGCAAATAGCAGCCATATTCGCTGCTGGTTTCTACCTACTTTTTAATATCTTTTCAGGGTTTTATATCCCACAACCCGTAAGTCATCTTCCCTTTAAATCAACTCATGTGTTGTTTTTCTTAATTAGTGTGCTTAAAGGGTTGAGTACTTAATCTAGATAGCTATATATGGCTTTTTTTTCCCTTAATCTGGACAGAATGATTTAATGGGTTAAGCCAAAAATAAAAAATGGCTTAATGTATTAAGAGACCAACCCTCTACCTATTTGTCACTTTTTCCTCTCAACTCCTGTAATGTTAACATTGATGAATATTACAATTTTTTTTAGTTAGAATGTAACCGTAAAATGTCATTTACTCTCATTCTGACTAGTTTTTCAATCTAGAAAAGAAAATGACCGTATGTGTACAACACTTTATCCGGACAAATATGGTTACCCATACAAGGCAGTCACTTTAAGTGGGGTGCATGGCCCATTTGGAGGTGGGTCCCACCACATTTAGTACTATAAAGCCCTAAAAAAAACTGATTTTTACTAAAAAAGCCCCTCTTTGTCCCCCATTTTTACATCAAATACCCCTATTGATAATTTTTTTTCTGAAAATAACCCAATTTTTTAAAAAAATTTCAGAATTTTATACTTGTATTTTTTTTATCAATAATGGACCCCAGTTAGATTTCGTTCTGGATCCGCCACTGCATATAATGCAATGGGAAAAAACCCCTCATTCTAGTATTCTTTTGTTTCATGTTTGCTAGTGACCCATTGTTGAATTCTTGAAATTATAGAAAATTCCTAGATGGTGGGTATGGTACTACTGGATTTGCCCCATGGCGTGGACTGTGTATGGCTGCATTGTTTCCCAGTATCATGATGCGGATAACACGATTAAGGTGCCTGGCATGGGAATTGACCCGGCCCTCACATGGTATATCAAGGACTACTATGGTTTTGAATTGGATTTTATGGGTCCTGTTGCTGCAGTTTTAATTGGTTTTTGTGTGTTCTTCGCGTTCCTATATGCCACCTTCCTCAGGACTTTGAACTTCCAAATGAGATAGAAAGTACAATAGATTCTACTATTGGGTGTGTAAATTATTATGCTGTAATTTACACGTTTGAATTGTAGCAAACCTACAACAGATTCTATGTGACACCCTGAATGCGGGTTAATGTCAATGATGGGTGACCAACTATTAGATTTGTTCAAAATAGATTATGAACATTATTATACATCATGTCAGGGTCCTTAAACATGCGAGTTTTCATGCTGCCAATCCAACCGGCTTTCTCACCCTTACATGGCAGAATATGCTTGTCTCATCACCTTTACCATAAATTTGATCTTACAGATATCACAATTTTGATTACTCTTTCATTACGATGCAAATTTAAAATAAAAGAAGTGATTCTGTTACATTACCTCTTTCTTTATTTTTTTCCACAATAGCAGAAACCGCCATCCTTAGCTACAACCGAAAGTACAAGACCAATTCAAACTCTTTGAAGACTTCTAAGCCCTATCGGATGCCCGATTATTAACCATCTAAGATTGATTTTTCAGTCTTTGATACCACTTTTCCTTATAGTGATCGTGAGCTTCAAATTGCTTATCAGTTTTGGCATGCCTAAATTAATGTTAAGAGCTTTAACATGTATACTTTTTTGCTATGCTCATTGCATGATATGAATAGGGATATTTGGTAAGCCTTTAAATGGTTCATTTAAGAGGTAGCCTCTTAACCGTTCAGCATTTAACATGTTTGGTTACATTAAAGTTAACCTGTGAATGATTAAGTAGCCTCTTGATCACTCAGCGGAAACAGTCTCTGAACCATTCTATTTTAGGAAAGTTCCATATTTGCCTATATAACCCTAAATGAAAAAAGCATATGTTTCCTCTTTCATGTGAGCATTGCGTATACTAGGGATGCGTTATAAAACCGGAAAACAGGACCGTAATCGGACCGGAACCGGAAAATGCTTAAACGGTCCGGGTATTGGGTCTAAAAATTACTCTTATTCGGGTTCCGGATATTCCGTGTACGAGTCCAACGGGTCCGGGTATTCTGGGTTTTAGAACCGGATTTATAAGAAAATTGGAACCGGGTTTAATGGACCGCAACCGATTTAGTGGGCCAAGGAACCGGAAATTGAAGGGCTATCAAAAAATATGCCTACTGATTCAGTTCTAAAAAATTTAATATTCTATTCCATAATTTCTTTTTATTTTTTTTTTATTTTTTGCATTGTTGCTAAGTTTTTAGTTAGCTTTAAATTGTCATATTATCTTTGTTATGAGTCTGTTCCGGATGATTTTTTTTTAAATTGTAGTTCACTGTTTGGAAATAGTTATAGACTCTAGAAACACCTTATTTACATGTGTATTGAGTCACTTACAGCCCACCAAAAATTAAATATCAGTTCTGTTTTGTTTCTGTTACAATATTGTTGCTGAATTTTTAATTAGCTTTAAACTGTCATATCTCCTTCGTTATAAGTCCATTCAGGCTGATTTTTAAAAAAAAATTGTAGTTCACTGTTTGACAATAGTTATAGACTCTAGAAACACCTTATTTATATATGTATTGAGTCACTTACAACCCTCCAAAAATGATATATCAAAAAAAATGATAACATTTTTTTATAGATCGTTCCTTTGCACGAGATGTGGTAACCCCTGTGAGTAAAGATTTTGTAACTTGTCGAGTAATATTCTCCTTTCTTGTTATTAACAAGTATTCTGGGTTACAACATTTTTTTTTCTTTTGTTCCAAAAATTCGGGTTTCCGGTTATTTCCGGGTCTAATACACGAATCCGGTACCAATAATCAATTTTCGGTTCCAACCGGTTCCATACCCACTATACCCAGCTTGATACCCGGAACCAAACCGGAAGTGGCAATCATATACCGGTTGATTCTTGGTTCTTATAATCCATCAATTTCGGGTTTCAGGTTTTCCGAGTCTGGGTAGACCGGTGCGGTTTTAGACCCACTTTCTTCCCTAGCGTATACCACTACTGAGACTAAGCCTCCGACGAGTTCCTCCCTTCTGTAGCCATCAGAAACCTTCTCCTATCGACAGCAATCCAAGCCTCCGATGACATTCTCTATCTCCCGATATCTCTTTTTTGTTGAATCTTTTGTCTGCTTTATCAAACAAATATATTTCGATAACTCTCTTTTTCTATTGAACTCGGTTTATAGCATATTCCTTGGGTGATTGGATTCACGCTTAGGATTTTGACTTTTACAAATTTGGGTTTTGGGATCAAGTATAACAATAAGTGCTCCGTGATATGATTGTAAACTAAAGGAAAACTGCAACGCAATAATATTATTGTAAATTAGAGGAAAACCACACTTCATTGCGGGCCGAATGAAGGTAGATTTTATTGATAATGAATACAGATAATATATAAGTGGTTGTTTAGTCATACAAAAGATAGAAGCAAAAGATTACAACACTTTCAAAAGTTGATTAAGTAAGACGATAATAGAAGCAGGAGAATGGTTTCCATACTCTGTGAAAAGCAAAATCAAAGTAGTCTGTATATTTTTCAAGCAAATTAAAAATCATTAATAAATACCCTCCTCTTCATATCTTTAAGCATGTCCTCTACACCTGCCCTTTGTGCACCCAATGCTTCTAATTGCCTCTGCAAAATCACCACAATATATGTAAAAAAATCAAACAAAATAACTAACTTTATGCCATAAATATAAATGTTTTTTCATATAAAGTGTCTCTATTAAGTGAATAATTTCCATTTGATAGTATCTTGAAACAATTAATTGTTCATCACAATATAAATGGCAACATACTAACATTTCTTTACCAATAATACTAATGTAGTTTTTTATACCCATAATAGCAACATACTTATATTTTGCAATAAATGTGGATCATGGAAACTGTACTTTTTTCTTACACATTTCTATTAATGGTAAACTAATGTAATTTGGTTGCTATTATGGAAGATATGTGGAGTTACTGGCTAAATCCCGATTATAACCTTGTTCGTTTCTTCTTCACTTTGCTTTGTGCACTCATGGTCAGGACTGTATTCTAGAAAATCGGCCAAAAAAACATGAGTATTTTCTTCTTTTTAAATCAATAATATAAACACAAAGGCGTTATAATAGCATCCATTATTATAAGGTTTTTATTTGTGTCAAATAGGTTGAAGAAATTTAAATAAGTTATTGCAAAGTATGCTTGTGCTTTTACAAGTTTGACCAAATGAGTTTTTCAATAATTTTTTTTATCTTTTTTTCTTTTGGTTTATTAGTTACAAAAAAAATGTTAATATATTTAATATAATGTAAAAATATTTATAAAATATTCTAAAACTTATAAAACATATTCTTGATTTTATAAATTTTCAGGTCGAACAGAACTGATCTGAATAGAACAATTGGAGCCATGTACGTTGTTGTAATTTTTATAGGTATAAACAATTCCCAAACAGTGTAGCTGGTTGTTGCCACATAAAGAACAATATTTTATTGTGAAAGAGCAGCTGGAATATACTCCTCATTACCATATGTCATGGTGCAAGTAAGCAAAATTTTGAATATATATATATATATATATATATATATATATATATATATATATATATATATATATATACTTTATTACAAACTTACCCCTTTTTTTTAAACAGGTCTTTATAGAAATACCATATGTATTCCTTCAAACAACACATTACACTCTCATAGTGTACGCCACGGTGTCATTCGAATGGACAACACCCAAATTCTTCTGGTTCTTTTTCATCAACTTCTTTTCGTTTCTCTACTTCACATACTATGGAATGATGATTGTTTCCATTACACCAAATGAGCAAATTGCAGCCACATATGCAGCTTCCATTACACCAAATGAGCAAATTGCAGCCATATTCGCAGTTGGTTTCTACCTACTTTTTAAAATCTTTTCAGGGTTTTATATCCCACAACCCGTAAGTCTGCATCCCTTTCATTCAACTCAAGTGTTGTTTTTTTTTTACTTAATGTGCTTAATGAGTTATGTACTTAATTTGGACAAATATATACGGCTGTTTCGTTTTTATTTAAGACTTAATGGGTTAAGCATAAAAAATACCTTTAATGTATTAAGCCACCAACCCTCCACCTATATATGAAATTGTTTGTTATAATTTAAGGGTAAAATGGTCCGATTTTTCCCCAATAACCGAATACTTTTGTCTGTAAATACCGTGTCCCAAAACGCTCTTTAAATTCTTTAATTTTTTTATTGACTTCATATGTTTATTCATTGAACTCACAGTCACAAATGAGATAGAGGGATTTATATAGAATCCCCATCTACATTCACATTCGATTAGTAAGGAAAATTAGATGTCTACGAACAAGGAAGCTATAAGTAATGAAATTATGAATCTCATGGAGAGTTCGATCCTGGCTCAGGATGAACGCTTTCGTTCAGATGGGTTATTTAATCTAGAAAAACATCATTACCCATAGTCTCATATAATATTTAATGTAGAAAAAGGGAAAGAAAAAGAATCAACCCCTCATGTTTGTGTTCCTTTGTTTCATGTTTGCTAGTGACCATTTGTTTAAATTCTTCAAATTTTAGAAAATTCATGGATGGTAGGTGTGGTACTGTAACACCGGATTGCTAGTATGTATTTTATTTATGAATTTTATGTATTTTCTCTGGGACTCGACGAGTTGATGGCCCAACTCGTCGAGTAGAGACGGGATCCGCGGGAAGTTTAAGTGACCTACTCGACGAGTCGGGGACTGACTCGGCGAGTAGGTGCTGTTTGGGTGAAACCCTAAATTTGAGGGTTTGCACCCTATTTAAACGTCTTATTGCAGCCTCCATCGTCCCTTATGCTCCCAGAACACCTCATATCGAAACCCTAGCCGCTTTGAGTGATCTAAGGCCATTTTTGGTGCTTTTGGGTGGTTTGTGAAGCTTGAAAGGAAGGAAGAAGCTTGTGAATTCGAGTTGGGGCTTGTAGATCCAGAGATCTTATTCCATTTTCAGCTCAATCAAGGTAAATGCCCCCTGTTTTGGTCTT